GGAAGTAGGCCAGGGCTGTGAGCACCAGCATGGACCCTGTGGAGAAGGCGTGCTGGCTGAGGGCCAGGGCATGGCGAAGAGCTCACCAAGCAGCGCTTGATCTAGCTAGCTCAGCACCGCCTGCAGCCAGCCCAGCACCCTGCACATCCCCACCCTCTCTGGCCCTCGATAGACCATGCTCATCCACACTACTGCCCACCCCAGCACAGGCTCCTCACCAGGGATGGTGACGTGCCAGACGAGGACAGGGTGCAGGAAGCAAGCCACTGAGAGCAGTGTGTACCCCAGGAATTTCTGGAAGCTCCCCGGGCGTCTAGCTCGCTTCCAGCAGGCCTGTGCCAGGGAATCAGGCTCATATCTGGGAAGAGAAACAGAGGTCCTTGTGGGATGAGGCACCAAGCACAGGATTTGACAAATAAGATTTGACCTGACCATCACCCATCTACATGTGCAGATCCTCAGTCTGGTTTTCCAGGAAACTGGTGCGTTGGTCAGGGAAGATAAGCAAAGACTGAGCCTCTTCCATGGGAAGAAGAGGCCAGAGGCTACATGTGCCAGAGGTCAGCATGTCAGGCCATCCCTCCTTGGTATGTTTGCCCACTTGGCCACTAGTTGAGCACCTATTAGCTCCAGTAGGATGTCGTCTCCAAGCTATCAGGGCTTTTGAGTTTATGCTAAAAGACAGCAGAAGTGCTCAGCATCAGAGAAGTACATAAGGATTTTCTACATTTTAACTTAAACTTCTGCACTGTCTCTGGGAGGGAGCTGCAGCTCATCCTGGAGATCTGGCTCTTCCCTCAACTCCAGCCCCTTGCGGGGCTTTATACCCTGTGTTAAGCAGATGCTGCAAATCAGAGTTTGTTGTGCTGATGCTCAGCAAATTACGGCACAAGCTTGGGTTAAAACACAGGTTTAATTGGCTGTGGACATGGCCCCACTTACCTCCCCTCTGCCTGAGTGCACTTGCCATGACATTAGGGGCAGACCTTTGATCTGGCACTTGCAGCTCAACTGGGTCTGGTGTTGTCTGTAAGGAGCAAGTTGCCTTAGGGAGGTCCCACCAAGGCTGGAGAAGACTGGACAGGGTCTACTCACGTGAAGCACATCTCCAGGAACAAACTGATAAAGAAGAAGCCTTCACAGACAGTAACTGCAGCCCCTGAAAAACTGAAAGGCAGAGCTGTCAGGGCGACAGGACTGGTCTTGAGTATGCTTTCCAGGTGGTAGAAAGGGCATAGAGGGCCAGGATTTACTATTCAGTTCACAACAGAGTCTGTGTGCTGGGATCTGAACACTCTGCTCTGCTGGTTTGTGGAGGAGAGCTCAAAACCCTTCTGTCCCTGGGGGATCAGCTTGCAGCCAGTGTCCCCTCTGGCCTGCCTGAGTCTGCAGGAGCATGGGTGATGCAGTAGCATCACTTTCTCTAACAGAAATAGTTTACTTTTCTGAAACCTAAATATGGAGATCTGAATTCCCCAAAACCTTGGACACTGCTCCCTGCTGCTGTTGCAGTCTAGTCTGGTGCTACACATAGTGGAGGAGTCAAGCGCATCACCCCTGCCAACTCTGACTTCAAGGGCAAAAATACTCACAGCAGATAGAAAGCCAGGCTTTTGAACTGTCCTCGCTGCAGAGTTTCTACGCCCACACCGATGAGCACTAGAAAGAGAAGGTAGGAAAGATGCTGACTGCAGGGTTGGTTCCCGACTCTCTGGTGCCCTATCAGCATCCAGGATCAATGCCCCAGTTTCCCCAGAGGCTTGTGAGGCTTCTCCTCCCATGCTGTGCAGTATGTTAGGACTGCCAGCACCAGTGATTCATGCTGACACACCAACCCAGAAGGGTCAGAGCTGAATGCTGGCCTTGACATATAGCCCAGAAACCCATCCCAGCTGCATCCCTATCACAGCAGCCTTGCCACAGCGTGGGCTGGGGAGAGGTACTCTGGGGATACCAGCTGGCCTTGGACAGCTAGGGGAGGTGAGCAGCAATGTCCTGTGTCCCTTCCACCCCCTGCCACGCCACTCCACCACAGCTGCCATAGGGACTTCTGTCCTGCTTTCCTATCCACCTCTGTCCCCTCCTGGTCTGGGGACCTCTCTGCCCAGGTCCCCCAGTGCCTGCCAGCCTCACTCTCCTGCCCTCCCTGCTTGCCCAGGCCTGTTGCACCCAACACGTGGCTGCAGAGCAGCAGCAGGATGAGAATCATGCCAGCTGCCTTTGCAAAGTGCTGTAGCCATGGCACCAAGATCCTTTGCTAGCCAAACAGAAAAACATATAATGGGAGCAGCAGATTAAAACCAGGGAATGAACGTCCCCTCAGTGCCCTGGCCAGCACAGCACACTGGGGAGTCAGTTTGAGGGGGATTAAGAGTATTAGAGAGGCTAAAATCTTCCCTAGACTGGCTGTTGGGAGCCAATAGCTTCAGGGAATGGAAAATTTCCTTCAACATCCTTCAATTCCCCACAAGACTATTTCCAAAATGGAACAGAAATGAAGTTCCTTGCACCAGCTATAGCAAGTTGGTCGGTACATGACTGGCCGGTCATGGTGGACACATGCCAGTGGCGTGGAGCTAAGCAGAGCCCAGATCTCATGGCCAGTGCATCGCTCTAGGCAGTCACTGCACTTTTGTCCACACTTGATGTCTCCACATCTCATCGAGCAGTCCCTGCCCATCCACTGGTGCTCAGGAAGTTCACCACTGGTGCTGCTCAGCGCATGCTGGCCAAAGCGTGAGGTGCTGGCTGGCTTCATCTATCTGAGCTGTGGTTTGTCCCAGCTGGGGAAGGGTATCAGGCTCCCAAACAGGGATGCAGACCAGTGTCCATCAAGCCCACGAGGTGGGTCAATGTCCAGGGTCTGTGCCTGAGCACACAGCTCTCCTGTCGCTGGGGTGCTGCGGTCTCGTTTTGGTTCCCTGTGTTACCTGCAGATGCCAGCTCCTGTCAGCCAGAGGAACACATGGGGCCCATGTGCCACCTCCTCCATGGAGGCTGCCTCTCCAGCCCTGAGCAGAGGCACTGGGAAATCAGTCTCATCAGAGGGCTGTGAAGCTGTGTGAGTTGTGTAATCCTACATGCAAAGTATTGTCCTTTGCTATCTTGTGACTGAGAACCTTTCTTTATAATCCCTACAAACGTTGAGTTCACTCATTCATTCATTCATTTCCAGTGGATGAATGCAGAATTCAACAGCTTGGCTATTATGCTCGAGTCTCTGCTCTGGATGGGAAGGTTTCCTCATTTTGCACAGCTTCTGCTTTATCCGCAAAGCTGTTTGGATGAAGAATCTGCAAAAACCAAAGGGCTGTTTCCAAGGTGTTTGTTTGGACCAGTTGCTATGTTGATTTGGATCTTATCCAAGCCATGTGGCTAAAGGCACATGATTAGGAATTAAATGGTTGAAAGCATGAGAATTAAGAAATAAGAAAGGACTCTCTCCTAGATGTGGAAATCACAAGGCCTAAAACCTCTGAACTACAGCGATGCCCAAACACTGCAGCGAGTTGCAGGGCTGTTTGATCACTCTTTGCTAGCTCACCATGAGGCTCTGCTGACTGCAGGGCTGTCTGGTTTCTCAGACACAAGAAACCCTGTAGCCACACCATTGCAGACAGTCATTACACTCCAGATTCCTGTGGAAAGTGGAGTTTTATGTTATGTGGGTAACCTTCTGCGTTTGCAAGCAGCTTATGGAGCTGGCCAGGCCTTCTCGGAATCAATTAGTGAGGCTGATGCACTTTCCTCTCCCTTTCTTTTTTTTTCCATACAAAACCCGTGGGATTCTCTTCTACATGGTTTCCATTTCATGCAAAAACCTCACACACCTCATCAGGCACTAAACACTGCATCAAGCTGTCTTCTTACTCCATTGAGACACATAGAGGAATAAAACACAGGCACCTCCCATTCTTCATGGGCCTTTTGGGAAAGTCAGGTAATACTGGGAATGCATCAGAACTACGGAAAAGCACAGAGATCAGTAGTGCAGCTGTCTACGCTCTGTGATGCTCGGCAGAGAGACAACTGCACTGCTCATTTCAAGAACTACAGAAAGAAGTGTGGGTGATGCAAAACGATGAAAAGAAAGAAGCAGGAGACAGATTATATTCCACTAAAACACTTCCAAATTGTAAACTGCTTTCAATTTTGTCACTCTAGCTTCAGTTTTCCTGTGGTAACAAGCTCATGTTTCTCCCAGGAAAGTCTCTGTGAGTTTCCTTGAAGCTTTAAAAGAGAATATAACCAGCATGGGACTCATGTGGGCCTGACGAGGATGGGGATGGAGAAGGGAAGAGATTTCCATGTGCTGCTTAAAGTTGTGTCCCAGCTCCTATCTGTTGCAGTCTCATCGTGATGTGCACTTATCTACCGGGAGTTTGTATAAACTCAGACACTCAAATCTCTGCCCTTTATCAGTCATTTAAAGCACATTCCAGAGCACAGCCTTCAACGTCCCAGCGGGGCTTTGGGTGTCCCTGGGGAACTGTGCTCTCTTCGGCTGCCCTGTGTGCTTTCTACTTTGCCCCTGACTGGAGCAAAGTGTCTCTCATAGCTGTCTGCAGTTGATAAAGGAAATGTGAAGGTAGGAGGGCCTGCTGTGACCTACTCCACAGTGTCTGAATCTGAAATTCCTGGGGGAGTGACACAGGAACCACAGGCACCACCTCAAGTCACCTCTCACCAGGAACCTATGGTTCACTCCTCCAGCCTTTAGGCAAATCAGGCACTTTGATCTCTGCTTTACTGATGGGGAAACTGAGGCAGAGAGCGCTGCCTGTCCTGTCCTGTCACAGCGAGTCAGCAGCAGCAGTGCCAGAGTGAACCCCTGAGCCCTCTGCATTAGCTGTTTCCCCACGTCCCACCAGAGATGCCCCATGTGAGAGGGTTATTCACCATAGTTCATTCCTTCTGGGCGAGACACTGTGCCTGAGACATCTGTCTCAAAACACCTGCATTTCACCTGAAATCAAGTGCTCTAATGTGTCACCAAACCCAGGGACGCTGGTCCCAAGCAGCCCCTGGCAGCGGGTGAGAGGATACAACTAGCCAGGTGGGTGAATTTATGATGTTTGTACTGCAGCTATAACCTGAACTGCTTCCTGAGCCTACTCCATGACGGGTTGCTAGAGAGGCAGAGCAGCGCTTTGGCAGTAACTGTGCCGTGATGGCTGGGACCTCGCCATCCTGCCTGGCACAGGACATCTCACTGTGTACAGCACAAGGAGCTCCTCCTTCGTTTTCACATCCCACAGAGCAGCCTGGCAGTTTTGCGCAGCCATGATTATCCTGCTTTTCAGTCTCATTCTCCTCTTGCCTGTGCCCATGTCTGTTTTACAAGGATCTAATTTAGTTTTCTTTTCTGTTTGTGCTTTAGCTTGCTCTCTGCCATACTGAGTGCTGCCTCTGCCTTTCTGATGTCTCTCTGTGCCTCCCACAGCATTTGAAAAGAGCCTGGCTGGACACCCAGCACTCTCCCTCCCTGGGTCCCAAAGCAAAAGTGAGCAGGTTTCCTTGTCCCCCTCACAGGATGGGCATCAGCTGCACTTGGCCAAAAGCAGGGAGACAGCTCAGGGGTCCTGACACCCACTCAGTGCCTTTTAGAGCCAAAGCAAAAGAGAGCTCACTCTTACCTGCTGCAGTGGAGATGCCCAGCAATCGGCAGGTGTACTCCAGGACGCTCCAAAACACCTTGTGCTGCATGGCGAAGAGATGAAGAGTGTGGTGCCAACCAGGCAGAAGCTCCTCTTCAGAGCTCCCACTTCATGTGTAGCCCAGCAGCTCCCAGCCACAGGCAGAGCCTCCAGCACCCAGGACCAGGACCAAGGGACCTTCCTGAAGGAGAGGGCAGAGCACACAAGCTGGCCACCGACACTGGGGCCTCCCAGGGGAAGGTGGTCGCAGAGCGAGCTGCCACCACGGGGAACCGGTCAGCACTGCTTCCTGCTGCTCCCACGGGGGCTGCAGAGTCTTGGCCTTTTCCTGCTTGCTAGCCACTTGCTCGGTTGCTGGCCGGTGGTGATTAATGATTGGTAAGGGGGGGTGCGGCTTTGGGAGCATTTGCACCCGGGGTGCTCGGCCTTTCCTGCTCCCGAGAAGGAGGCTCTGGAAGCCCAAGCTGATTAAATGCATGTGAAGTCATTAGTGCTGTGCAGCTCCCAGCAGGTTAACCATTTGTGAGGATGGCGATGTTTGCTCTTGGCGAGAGGGCGGCATGTTCCCGGCAAGTCACAAGGCTCCTGGGGCACCCCAGCCCTGCTGCCTCCCGCAGCCGAGCCCCCCCACGGCTGCTGCTCACCATGCAGGTTTTGCCAGGCTCTGACTAGTACGGCTTGGGCAGTGTCCGGGCTGATGTGCAAGCACAGGAACAAGGAGACCAGATCTGTTCCCAAGGGTCCTACACACCCAGGCCGACCGCAGCAGAGGAAATGTGTATTTCTCTTCTTGGAAACCTCAGTGATGTGTATTTCTGTGTTGCAGTCACCAGAGCCATTTGAACACCACCAAGGCGGCACAAGTGTCCTGACACGTGGAATGGGGTGCATAGGTACTCTGACTTCTTTGTTTTGGATGTGGTAAACAACTCGGGGTCCTTGGCTTGTCTCCACAGGACACAACACTTCTGGAGAGGGGCATTGCTAGGCATGTCTGAAGGCCAAGATGGGACAGTGCTGGCCTGCTCTGGACCTCAGCCCCACATTCCTCTGTGCTTGAACGTGGTGAATCTCACTGGGGGTCACCACTTCGGTCCCCACCTGTTGCTGTTGGGCGAAGGGGCAGTGTCAGGAGCAGTGTCGGGTCATTGCAGTCCAGGCAGGAGGGGCGCGTGAGCAACAGCACAGTTTCGGTGGGCAGCGCGGATGTCTGGTGCCCACGGGGCCATGGGTGCACAGGTCGGTGGGCTCACCTCGTGCTGCTGCCATCGTCGGGCGAGTCGCGGCCGCCCCGGCCCCTCGCTGTGCTTTCCATGAAGCCGGCAGCGGTGTGGGCAAAGGGCTGGGTGAATCATGCTCAGCTCACCATAGGCAGCCCTGCCAGGAGGCAGTAACCGGCCAAGCCTGTCTCCTGTGATCCCTTCTGACCTGCCTGAGACCACAAAACTGCGTTGTACTCTCGTGTCCCGGGGATAGAGACGGCTTGGTCCAAGGGCACAGTGACAGCTTTTCTTCCACAGGGTCTTGGTCTGTATTTCAAACTGGAATTTTCCCAGGACAGCCAAATGCTTGAGCTTATAAAATAGGTCCCTAATTCCTGTAAATAGCTGCAGATAGTGTTTTTCTGAACACTTACAAGTTGACGGGTGGTAGGGATTTTGCAGTGGGCAATGCTGACAGGGTGTGGGGACAGAGCACATTTTCCATGTGAAAAATGGAAAAGCCCACTGGAGAAGGGCTTCCAGAGCACTCCGAGGGGCAGTGCTGAATAGTGCAAACCCAAAATGTGTCTTTCCTTGCAGCACCAGCACTGCCTTTGTGTGTTCCCATTTCCTCTTGTCCTCCCACAGCACTGCGAGTGTTTGAAGGAACTACGGATTTTCCACAACTGATGACTCATCGGTGTGTCAAAACTTCCTATTCAAGAGAGACTCAAAGAGGGAAACAGAGGCAAGCCAGTGGGAAAGGTCACCCAAAGGCTGGGGAAGGGCCCAGCCGGGGCACCCTACCGCCCTGCCTGCTGTTGCTGGGCACCACCTGGATGATCCCTGTGCCCTCTCACAGCGCCCCGCTGCAGGCTCCAGGAGCAGCGTCTGTTCCAGAAATCACCAAACCAGCTTAAGAGCCCTGAGGTTGTGCAGTCTGGATGCTTTTTTCCCTTGCTGTCTGTCTTTTTTTGTGGTTTGTTTTTTTTTTTTAACATTTGTGTATTGAATTTCAGGTGTTTCTTTACCAACATGAAAGCTAGAAAACTACTTAAAAAGCATACAGATGCAAGGAAGACATAAGAGCCTTTCAGAATCACTTAGAGCCATGAGCTTAGGCTTGAAGAAAAGCAGCAAACACCACAGTGCAATCCTGAGCACTGTGAGCACCCACTCTTCAGCAGCACCCGGCACCTCTCAAGGCAGCAAGCCGCTGTCTTCTCCCATGGTGGGGGTCCCTGTTGCCAACAGGGGCAGTGCAGTGTGCAGGGCTGTTACTCTGGAACTCTTATTACACTGCACTGAGCTCTCACCCAGAAACTAAATAAATGACTTTGTCTAAGTGCCCTTGACAGTAATGTTTCCTTTCTGGAGAGGAACAAGCCCCAGGGTTTAAAATAAATGTAAATTTATAAGTGGTGGTGGTGGAGGAACAGAATCTATTTGGTACAGGCAGATTAATACATTAACAGTTTAAACCTCCTGTCTCCCTTCCATGGTCCCTTACCTATTGCCCAAGCTTCATCCTCTGAGTGAGCCTACATAAGCCTTCCTGAGGGTCTTTGTCCCCCATCTAGAAGACTTTCAGCCTGGGGTAACTTAAGGGCTCCTCCACTCACTGTTCATTGGTGCGCTAGTGCTTCTCTTACTCTAGTGCCCAGGAGAGGAGCATGGAGAGAGCAGGACGGGTATCCTCAGACTTGCGCTGTACCAACACTCCTTTAGCAGCTCCTTCCTTCCATTTAGGATTTTTTTTGCTAATGCTCCTACAAAGCAACCTCACATGAACTTGATTTTTCTTGGTAGAGGGGTCCATTCTCCTTCTGCCTCTGTTCAAGTGGGTAAATGATACCCTCAATGAAAGTGCGAGACATTTGAGTGTGTTTTGGTGATTTTTTTAGGAATGTGTTTATGCAGTCAGAAGAGGACTGAGAACTTACAACCTTAGAGGAGTTTAATAACCTGTAACCAACACTACAAAACCTATGCACCAGCACAGCCTGTTCTGAGACACGTAATTGCAGTGGTCCCCACTGCACATTAAGCCACTTCTCTCGCACAGAGGCTTGCCGTTTGCACTTTGGCTGCCAGCCAGGATTCACATTTACAGGCTGCTTCCAGTGATACACAGGTTGATTTGAGAGGATTTTATTTCAGTGTTAGAGTTTCATGATGATGTTAGACCTCATCTTCATCTCTCCCTTCTCACACTTTACTCAAGTCATTTTGCTGTGGCATGGCCACTGTGGCTGTTCTTCTGTAATTAAGGCCACAGTGCAGTGTCTGTGCTGAGTGGTCGCCCTTGGAAGGCTGTGGGGAAGCAGCACACACCTCATGCCTTGCCTCTGTGAAACAGTGCTGTTGCAAGAGTGCTGCTGTGAGTGCAGGTTCCCGTCACGGGGCGTAGGGCACCACAAGCTGTCCTCTGACAGATACCTATGGGAACATGCTTGACTTATCAGCTATTGTCACTCCCTGTCCATCGTGTAAAAACAGTTCCCAAACTGCCTTGCACAATGCTCTAGAAATTTATTGCTGCTATTCCTTTCTCTAAGCCCTCAGCAATAACCACCATGTCAAGCAACCTTGCTTGGCAGCCTTTGTCCTCTCTGAGCAGTAACAGCAGAGGCGGGATCTCCCTCCACCAACGTGTCCATCTGAGACAGACTGAGATCAATACTGTCCCTCGGCTGCCGGAGGGGAGGCGAGCTGCTCAGAACCTTTGCAGTGGTGCCATGTGCTGCCTCCCTGTGCCTTCCTCCTTCCACCAGGTCACCTGTCATGGAAAGGAAACAGATTTTCATGATAGCTGGCTGATGTTACATGGACCCAGTAGACTGGAAGCAGCAGTGAACTGCAGCTGTGGTTTCACTGGGTGCAAACATCTCCTTGCAGTTAGCAGGAGTTTCGCTCTGCCTGGTATCACCGGCTTTCCAAACCAGCCTGAGTGAACAGAGAGCATCCTGAGGGGAGCATGGCAGACCTCCCTCTTCTCTTGGGGCAGGGAAAAAATATGGCACTGGAGTGCCTGAAGCCACACAAACATTAATGCTGGAGAGAAAATCTTAAGTGTGTTCCCTCTTCCTTTGCTGTGATCACTAAATCACGTCCTCTGGAGTTTGCAGAGCCAGGGCCGCACCGCAAGCCACGCTGGGGATGCCCGGCAGGGGACAGCAGGATCCCACCACTGCAGAAGGCAGCTGCACCAGCCCTCAGCAAGGCTGCGATGAAAGAGCACCATAAACTTTTACTGCCTGAACAAGAAGAGCACGGTAGACACCACACGGATCTGAAGGGGGCTGGGGAGAGCCCGGAGCCGCAGTGAACATGAATCAATAACTAGCCTGTTTTGCTTTATGCTCTGTGGTTAAAGGGTGTCTGACGTGCTGCGGAACACTCCTCTGCTCCTCTGGCAATTTCCCACCCTGCCAGGGATGGGGTGAAGGCTCAGCAGTACACTGCCCCCATTTTCCCCCATCAGGACAGCCAGCCCTGGAGGCCATTGGTGGCACAGTCCCAGTGCCACAGGCTGGGACGGCAGAGAGGGCGAGCTGGAGGGGCTGGTGAGGAGCCTTTGTGCTCACACCTCTCCTGGGGACCTTCCCTCTGCTGGCACGGATGGAGGGGCTCTGCGTTTCTGGCAGGGCCAGGCCTGGCATTTGCACAGGCTGTGCCTTGTGCTGGGCAGTGGCCCAGGATGAGCTGTCATCCAGGTGTCTGGCGTCAATAAAGCTCATCACATTGTGGTGTGGGATGGTGTGGGGGTGCCGCGGGGGCAAGGGGACAGAGGCTGGTGCCTCTGTGGCAGAGACGATCTTAAACAGAAACTGCACGTGGGACCACA